AAAAAGTTATAAAGTCACCCATAGCCAATTAAAATATCATATGTTAAAATGAGTTTAAAAAAATAAGTTTAATAAAGTGGCCAGTGGCTTTTTTATATACCAGTAACACTCAGATGGGGATATGGAAAAGTTACTTTCAAATAGTAGTGGCAACAATAACAACATGAAATGCTTAGAAATAAACTAATAAGAAATGCATGAGATACATGAATAAAGTGACCAAACTTTAGTAATAGGTATAAAAGAAGATTTTGAGTAATACAGAAACATTTCTGGATAAGAATACCTAATATTGTAGAGGTTTCAGTTCTATCGAGATTAATAGTCAGATTTACCTTAATCCCAACATAAAATTTACTGATTTTTTTTTTTTTCTGAGTGGCAGAACGATCTGCAAAAATAAAAAGTTCAGAACAGTTATGGCAATTTTTAAAAGTGGCATAATGAAGGACTTTGAAGAGAATGGGAAATTCCTTGCTAGGTATTAACTGGTAGTCTTTATTACAATTTGGTTTCAGTACAAGATTTGAAATACCTATGTTTTAGTTCTAGTACAAGATTTTAAATATAAATGGATAGTTTTAGAGTTCCAAACACTGTAAGCCCTTTTAATATAAAATAACCTAAATTTCTACTAAAGTAAACATAAGTCAGAGAAGTTATTGATTAATATCTAATGCTGGGAAAATTGGCTGTTGGAAAAGGAGAGGGATCAGGATATATCCTCACCCTTAATTGGAATAAATTCCAGAAGGAATGAGTGGTGAAAGTTAAAAAGGAAAACATAATCAGAAGAAATTATATAGGTAGAAACCAACAACAGGCTCTTAAAACACTTTCTAAAGCTAAATGCAATGGAAAAATAAGAGAGAAAGATGGATAATATTTGATTATATAAAATTTTAAAAACATTTGTATGTCAAAACATAAAGAGATATAAGGACACTTTACCGAAAACTTTACACCACATATAATAGACAACAGGTTGCCCTCACTATATAAATAATTCTTAAAAACAAACAAGACGACGCGGGGACCGGAACAGAGAGACCAGACACCGAGCGGCAGCTTCCCCGAGATCGAGGGACGCAGTAGCCAGAGGAGAAGAAAGGAACCCCAATTGGACCAGATCGGAACCTCTGACCATTGCCCATGGCGGCCCTAGGCCCCAGCAGCCAGAATGTCACTGAATACATCGTTCGAGTTCCAAAGAATACAACCAAAAAATATAACATCATGGCTTTTAATGCAGCTGATAAAGTCAACTTTGCCACGTGGAATCAGGCCCAGCTGGAGCGGGACTTGAGCAACAAGAAAATCTACTAAGAGGAGGAGATGGCCGAGTCAGGCGCGGGCAGCGAGTTCAACCGCAAGCTCCTGGAAGCTCGGAGGAAGAAGCTCGGCATCGTCCTCAAGGAGTTCCAGCCGAGGACCAGCCCTGGCTGCTCCGCGTCAATGGCAAATCCGGCAGGAAGTTCAAGGGCATCAAGAAGGGAGGCGTGACAGAAAATACATCCTACTATATCTTCACCCAGTGCCCCGACGGGGCCTTTGAGGCCTTCCCGGTGCACAACTGGTACAATTTCATGCCGCTGGCCTGGCACTGCACGCTCACTGCTGAGGAGGCCGAGGAGGAGTGGGAGAGGAGGAACAAGGTGCTGAACCACTTCAGCATCATGCAGCAGTGGCGGCTCAAGGACCAGGAGCAGGACGAGGAGGAGAAGGAGAAGCGCGGCCGCAGGAAGGCGAGCAAGCTGCACATCCACGACCTGGAGGACGACCTGGAGATGTCGTCCGATGCCAGTGACGCCAGCGGTGAGGAGGGTGGCAGAGCCCCCAAGGCCAAGAAGAAGGCGCCCCTGGCCAAGGGCAGCAGGAAGAAGAAGAAGAAGGGCTCAGATGACGAGGCCTTTGAGGACAGCGATAATGGGGACTTCGAGGGCCAGGAGGTGGACTACATGTCGGACGGCTCCAGCAGCTCCATGGAAGAGCCCGAGACCAAGGCCAAGGTGCCGCAGCAGGAGGAGGGGCCCAAGGGCGTCGATGAGCAGAGCGACAGTAGCGAGGAGAGCGAGGAGGAGAAGCCACCTGAGGAGGACAAGGAGGAGGAGAAGGAGGAGAAGGCGTCCACCCCGCAGGAGAAGCAGCGCAGGAAAGACAGCAGCGATGAATCAGACAGCTCAGAGGAGAGTGACATTGACAGTGAGGCCTCCTCAGCCCTCTTCATGGTGAAGAAGACACCGCCCAAGAGAGAGCGGAAGCTGTCGGGAGGGAGCTCAAGGGGCAACAGCCGCCCGGGCACGCCCAGCACAAAGGGCGGCAGCACCTCCTCCACCCTGCGTGCCGCCGCCAGCAAACTCCAGCAAGGGAAGCGGGTGAGCGAGGACGCCGTGTGCCGCTACCTGACGCGGAAGCCCATGACCACTAAGATCCTGCTGAAAAAATTCCAGACCAAGAAGACCGGGCTGAGCAGCGACCAGACGGTGAATGTGCTGGCCCAGATCCTCAAGCGCCTCAACCCCGAGCGCAAGATGATCAACGATAAGATGCATTTCTCCCTCAAGGAGTGAGCCTCTGTCCAATACACAGCTCTGCTCTCCAGAACTTCTCGGGCTCTCACTGCCCCTTTGCCGTCCTGCTCCCTGACTGCCAGGGCCCCAGAGTTAGCAATTTTGGAAAAGTTTAAGCCATTTCCTCCTCTGGCCCTTCTGGAATCTTCAGCTGCCTGGTAGGCCTTCTAATTGTCCTCTTTCTCCCTGCTCAGCCTCCCTCATGCTGACCAAGGCCCGTGCTGCCCAGTGGGTAGCAGTTCTGCCTTCCACTTCCTTAGGCCTCTCTTCAGCCGTGACTTAATCTACCACATGGCCCATTAGGTCTTCAGTTTTGGCCAGGCATGATAGTGAGTGCCTGCAGTCTCAGCTACCTGGGAGGCTGAGCCCAGGAGTTCAAGCTTGCTGTGAACTATGTTGGTGACACTGTACTCCAGCCTGGGTGACAGAGCAAGACCCTGGCACACACATAGAAAGAGCAGCCAGGCATGGTGGTGGGTGCCTGTGGTCCCAGCTATCTGGAGGCCTCAGCCTTCTCAGCACAAGAATTGCTTCTTGTGAACCTGGGAGGCAGAGGTTGCCATGAGCTGAAATCACACCACTGCACTCCAGCCTGGGTGACAAGAGTGAGACTCTGTCTCTAAAAAGTAAATAAACTGCTTAGATTTCTTTGTTTCCTTTTTAGATCTGGTATTCTAACAGACATTTGGATAATGTCTTGTTCCTTAGGTTTTGGTTTTGTCTTTCATGTTTTTATTTTTTAGTTTTTGAGACAGGGTCTTGCTCTGTTGCCCAGGCTGGACTGCTTGCTCCCTGCAACCTCTGCCTCCCTGGCTCAAGCCATCCTCCCGCCTTAGCCTTTAAAGTAGTGTGCACCACCATGCCCAGCTAATTAAAAAAAGTTTCTTGTAGAGATGAGGTCTCACTGTATTGCCCAGGCCAGTCTTGAACTCATGGGTCAAGCATTCCTCCCGCCTCAGGCTGGTGAGTAGCTGGGACCACAGGTGTGTACCATTTCGCCGGCTAATGTTTTCATTTTAGGCATCCTTACTTTGTGGTCTGACGTATCTAGAAGCTGAAGTTCGTGGGCCTCCTTGTGTTTCTTCTGACTCCCCTTGATGATAGATTTTCTTGTGATTTGGAGTTGGATGCTCATGGCCAGCTGGGGGCTCTGTGGGAATCCAGGGTGGCCTACTTTGCAGGCAGTCCTTCCAGATGGTTCCACCTTGGCTTGCGCCAGCCACCCAGGAGGGCCAGCCCCAGCCCATTTTGTGTGTGGTTCTCGGCTTGCAGGCTCTGTCCCTACGTGGCCACCAAAGCCAAACCCCCGATTGCGGGACCCTATGTTTCAGGTTCCCTGTGATGTTTCGGGGCCTTCTTTCCCTTCCTCCAAGCTTGGTCATCATTTATGTGATCTGGCGTTGCCAGGTTCTGGAAGGGCGGGCTTTTCCAGTTCCTGGACAGCAGTGTGGCTGGAATTAGAATTTGGCTGCACCCACTTTTGAACTCATCTTCTGGGCGACCCCTTCCTTCCATCTTGCCAGTGTTTGGAAACTGCAGATGGAAAGCTTCCCCACCCAGTTCTGCGGCCCTTGGCTACTAAGCAGGAATGTCTGAGATGTCAGGCTAATTCCTCGGAATGTCCCAGTTCAGGCCAGCCTCTCCCCATTCTTCCGCCAGGCCTTCTTGGGCAGCAGGGAGGCAGCTCTGGAGGGAGCCCCTGCCCTGGCGGTTTCACCCCAGCCATCCCCACTGCTTGGACCTTTGTCCAAGGAGGCTGGGCCGTGTGGCCCCATGGTTAGAGCAGGGGCTTTGCATTCAGGTGGACCTGGGTTCAAATGCCAGGTCCATTGCTTAATTTTTTTTTTTTTTTTTTTTTTTTTTTTTTTATTTGTTTTTTTTTTTTTTTTTTTTTTTTTTTTTTTGAGATGGAGGCTTGCTCTGTCACCCAGGGCTGAGTGCAGTGGTGCCATCTCAGCTCACTGCAGCCTCTGCCTCCCAAGTTAAAGCAATTCTCCCACCTCAGGCTTCTGAGTAACTGGTATGAGAGGCACCTATCACCACGCCCAGCTAATTTTTGGATTTTGTGTTTATATTTTTTTGAGACAGTTTGTTGTTGCCGAGGCTGGAGTGCATGGTGCGATCTTAACTCACTGCGATCTCTGCCTCCCGAGTTGAAGCGATTCTCCTGCCTCAGCCTCCGGGAGTAGCTGTGACTACAGGCATGTGCTACCACGCCTGGCTAATTTTGTATTTTTAGTAGAGACGGGGTTTCTCCATGTGTAGGGCTACTGGGGCCCCAAAGGGTCGTGCGGTGTCCCTTATGCTGTGTTAAGGTGCAGGAAAGAGAAGAGACAGGACACTGAAGAACTGGTGAAGAGCATCTGGACTCGGGGGGCCATGCCACCTGTGAGCAGAGATCAGTGACAGCCCCAAAATGCCCCAGAGCATCTGTATTTATTAGGTACAAGCAGGGGGAAGGATCGTAAGTGAGGTCATCATCTATAGGCTTAGTAATAAGGCATATATAATCACCTGAGTCCCAAGCGAGGGGACCACCCCATTATGTCACCTGGGCAGAGAGGTGGGCCTTGCACAGTAGGGGGCCGTGCCGTGTGCAGTAGTAGAAGGTCCTGTACAGAAAAGAGGTCCACCCCTATTAGGTCACTGAAGCAAGGAGGGGCTGTGTGCAACAGGTGTCATGCACAACACTTCTTACCTGGGGGCTGGAGACTTCAAAGGATTTCTAATAGAAGGATACTGTAAGCCAGTGCAGTGGGAGCTGACAGACCTGTGTTCTCTTAAGATATTTATGGGAGGATGATTTGAGCTAGCACAGAAGTGAAAAAAGACTGACAGGGTGTACAGCCGCCGTGACTGGTCACACAGAGGGGTACTTCTTCCTAGGTTACTTCCAGGATCTCAGGCCTGAGGCCCACTTTCCACAGGAACTGGATGCAAGGTGCTACAACTCCTTTATCAGGAGGAGAGGCTCTTGCTCCAAGCCTGCCATACAGCGTATGCCCTTTCAGGCAGGGACGCCACCGCCTGGGTCTTTGGTTCTTGTCCTGGTCTGCCTGTTTTCCCATGTACTGCTTCTGTTCTGTGACTGCTCTAGGCATCCCTCCTACTACAAACTACTATATGGTTATATGGAAGGATTCTNAAAAAAAAAAACAAGAAAAACGCTTAACATCCCAATAAAAAATAGTAAATGTGAACAAATAAAGCCATAAGAAAATGTGAAAAAAAATTATATAGAAAACGTGTTAATGTAAATTAAAATAGTACAGATAAAATAATGACAAAACATTTTTACTCCTGTCAAAATAAGAAAGATTAAACTTTAACACTTAAAGTTGGTAAGAGTATGACACAAAGGATACATTTATATATCACATACTGACAGGTGTGTTAAATCTTTGTGAACATTTTGGGAAAATAAAGTTTTTTTTTACTATATGAACCAATAATTCTACTCCTAGTGATCTATCCTGAAAATCTTGACAAAGTTAAGATACATATGTCATGTACTGCTATATACCAGACCATTTCAAAACTTAGTAGCTTAAAACAATCATTTACTGTCTCACAGTTTCTCTGGGTCAAGAATCCCTGTGCAACTAGCTAGGTGCCTCCGACTCAGGCTCCCTCACAATGCTGCAATCAAGGTTTTGGCCAGGGCTGCAGTCATCTTAAGGCTTGACTGGGGGAGGATCCACTTCCAGGATATTGACTGGCTATTTTTGCTAGCTATTGACTGAAGACATCAGTTCCTTACCACATGGGCCTCTCCATGGGAGCTACTTATAGCATGGAAACTTGCTTGAGGAAGAAGTGGAAGCCCTGTTCTTTTTGTAACCTAATTTTGGAAGTGACATTTTCTCACTTCTGCTTTTGTTTGCTGTAGACAAAAAGTGGAGGATGGATATGAACAGACACTTTTCAAAAGAAGACATTTATGCAGCCAACAAACATATGAAAGAAAGCTCATCATCACTGGTCATTAGAGAAATCCAAATCAAAACCACATTGAGATATTATCTCATGTCAGTGAGAATGGTGATCATTAAAAACTCAGGACACAACAGATACTGGAGAGGATGTGGAGAAATAGGAATGCTTTTATACTGTTGGTAGGAGTGTAAATTAGTTCAGCCATGGTGGAAGACAATGTGGCAATTCCTTAAGGATCTAGAAATAGGAATACCATTTGACCCAGGAATCTCATTACTGGATATATGCCCAAAGGATTTTAAAACATTCTATTAAAAAGACACATGCACACCTATGTTCACTGTGGCACTGTTCACAATAGCAAAGACTTGGAACCGACCCAAATGTCCATCAATTATAGACTGGATAAAGAAAACGTGGCACATATATACCATGGAATACTATGCAGCCATAAAAAAGGATGAGTTCATGTCCTTTGCAGGAACATGGATGGATCCAAAAACCATCATTTTCAGCAAACTGACACAAGAACAGAAAACCAAACACTGCATGTTCTCACTCATAAGTGGGTATTGAACAATGAGAATACATGGACATAGGGAGGGAAACATCACACACCAGGGCCTGTCAAGGGGTGTTGGAGGTAGGGGAGGGATAGCAAGGGGTGGGGAATTTGGGGAGGGATAACGAGAAATACCTAATGTAGATGACCGGGGGATGGATGCAGTAAACCACCATGGCACGTGTATACCTGTGTAACAAACCTGCATGATCTGCACGTGTACCCTAGAACTTAAAGTGTAAAAAAAATATTAAAATGAAGAATTAAAAAAAAAAAGTAAGCAAGCACAAGGTCCAGCACACACTCTAGGGGAAGGGATCACACAAGGGCATGAATATCAGGAGATCCGGTCATTAGGAATATTTTAGATGTTGCCTACCACACAGGTTAATCTCCAAAAGATGTCATTATAGTTTCAGGATTTTTTAATAATAGGCAAAAATAATTGTGTAATTACACATATACAAAAACTGAAGCAATGTAAATATTCTACAACAGGAGTGATTAAATTGTGCTGTATCCACACAGTAGTAGTATAAATGCATAATAATGATAATTTTCACCTTTCTTGAATGTCATGTGCCAGGTATTTCCTAGATACTTTAGAAATATTTCTGATCCTAAGAACAGCCATCTAAGCTGGTGATTATTTTCATCTTACAGATGAAAAAACTGATATTTAGCACTTTGGGAGACAGGGCAGATTGTCTGAGCTCAGGCGTTTAAGACCAGCCAGGGCAGCATGGTGAAACCCTTTCTCTACTAAAATACAAAAAAGTAGCCAAGTGTGGCGGTGTGCACCTGTAGTCCCAGCTATGTGGGAGGCTGAGGCAGGAGAATTGTTTAAACCCAGGAGGCGGAGGTTGCAGTGAGCCAAGATTGCACCAGTGCACTCCAGCCTGGGCAACAGAGCAAGACTCTCCAAGCGAAACCAAACCAAAACAAAA